AAGCAGACAAATTGTTGTCTACAATTTCTCCTGTCATGGTTGTTTTTTTGAGATATTTTTACACGTTCAGTCATGATTGCTGTAATATTTTCTTTTTGGTTGCTGCATATATGTATTAAATAACACAATCAGGTACCATTACTGCACCCTAGTTTGGGTGCATGTTGTGTAATCCTTTTTTGTCATTAATTATTGAGCTTCTATATGCTTTGTGTCTATTCTTATAAATGCAGATGACATTTCTAAGTGGCAATTTTTTTGTGTTTCATGTCAAATTTTAATTGTTTCTTGAAGTCTAATTTGATAATTGATCATTTTTAGGTCATGTTTAGCAGGCCAGTTCGCTGGATATTGGCTTTACATGGTGATCTTGTTATTCCGTTCAATTTTGCAGGAGTTTCAAGGTAACTTGCTTCACATGTCCACACTACGAATGATATTTTTTTAAGGGTGCAATGTTTTATAGCTCTTTCTAGTTGATTTAACTGTTATGATTTTGGTTTTGAAGCTTTTTTTCCTCTTCAATTATTTCTGCTTTTTTTTATCCAGTTATTTAATTATTGTGATAAGAAGTAACCATTAGAAATGTGTTTATTAAATCTACAACGCCTTAAAATTTAGCCTTTTGTGCCATCACCCGACATGACACTTCGAATTAATAGGCAGATAAAGACGGTCGGACTGTGGGAAATAAAAAATTCTCTATACTTCTTTTTTCTATAACTAACATTTATTTAATGAAAGAGCCCTAAATAGAATAAGTTCAAACTATAAAATTGAATTTACCTCATTACTTGTTGTGCACACCTTCTATAAACACTTCCTCTTCTATCTCTTATCTTCTAAATTAATTAATTGAAGCTGAAATATTAGTTTTAAATAACAATGAGTTAACAATAGCCAGTGAATCCTCGTACTCTTAAATTCTAGTAGCACAATGAAAAATATACATTATGCATGCCAGCTAAGCCCTTAATAAATCAGTAATAAAATATTTATTAGCTTATGAATATGATTACTCACGATATTTTATAATATTTAATGTATTTTACTGTATTAATGACATGTCTATATTATTTATATCTATACAATTGTTACATGAGCACCAATTAAGAATTGTATCAATTAAGGTATTTCAATATTAATATCATTTTTTTCATTTACAATCACGGGTAACTTAGTGTTTTCCCATTAATATCAGAAAAGAGTGACAATTATAAAAATACATGCTCATTCGAGCAATCCAAATAATAAATCTCATTGTTATTTTATTTTCATCACATTTACTATATATTATAATAACTTGAGTTTTGCAAATGACATGACATAAAAAAACAGTATCATCTAATTCAATATGATCAAATGAATTTAGAGTGCAGGTGAAGCATATTTAAACAATTAACAGAGAGCATTAGCTTTTGAAAAAAAAACAAATTACTATAATTTAGAAGTAAAAATACTTATATCGATTGCAGATGCTTTGCTTCATCTTAAGTTTTATCACTCCTTTCAATTTAAAATTTATAAAATATAAATTATTCTTGTTACTAATTTTTATCATATTACTTATTTATGTTTTAGTTTAATTATTATTGTATTACATTATTTTAATGAAGGTTTCAGTGCTTTAACTCTAAATTTAATCATTGCAATGAATATTAAATATATTAATTTATACAAAATACTTTCGGAAATAAAACCCTAACTTTTCTTGTTGTCGCCAATCTTGCCTCGATACAAAAGTGGAACTTTTATGGCCTGAATCAATTGCACTTAAATTTAATATTTAAATAATAAACATATTTTTTATTTGAAAAAGCCCTAGGGCAATTATATTATAGAGGAAAATGTACAAATATGTTGTATGAATGGGCCTAAAAGAAGGCTCAACCCACAGGATACAACACACAAATTTTAAAAAAGGATAAGATACATATAAGATCAAAAAAACAAAACCACCAACGTGCGAAAAAAGCTAGGGACGAGTTAGTTTAGTCCTGCTTCTGCCTCGAGTTCTCGGAAGGGAGCCGACTAACAAATTGGTGAGGTGCGTGCTAGTACCCGAAGTAACGAAAGTATCATCCATGAGATTTCTGAGCTCAAGTAGGTCTCCATTCTTCTTTATTCTTCGGGATGTGTAAACTTGTCATTCCTCATTCGAGGATTGACTTTCATCCGAGGATTGACTCATCTGATCAGTGGATTAATCCCTCATTCGAGGATTGACTCATCTGATCAGTGGATTAATGCAAAGGTGGCCAAACAGGTGTAGGCTGTTACACATCATGAACCCCATGTGCTTGAGTAACATTAACATCATGCTCGACCTGATGAGGCGGTAGAGAAATAGTAGCAATTTTGTCACCCATAACATCAGTGATAGGTTCTGGGGCAGATGAAGTCTGAAGTGTCACCCTCGCCCCGACGAAAGGAGGTTCCAAAGATGGGAAAACTACAATATTGTGTGTAGGCTGAATGATTGACATATTTTTTGCAAGGATAGTGACATCTTGAGGGATATCCTTTTGATGATCAATACTGTCGATAACTTGAAGCATATCACGAGGAGGGAGAATTACTTCATCTGACAGAACACTTTGCCGCATATCACGAGGAGGGAGAATTACTTCATCTGACAGAACACTTTGCCTTTTTGGTTTGAGGTGGGGGTGTAAATGATGACATTGAGAAATTAAGTGATCAAACATACGTTAGTTGGAAAAATACGAAGGGAAAGACTCAATCATAACCTTTTGCCAATATCCATGGTGCTGTGTGGTTAATTAAATTTCCTCAGAAGCGATTGAAGTGATGTCCCTTTCAACGAGTAATTTAGCTTCAAATGGACGGGAAAGATTAAAAGTAGAAATCTTTGTTTTGAGTAACTTATCATAAGCTGAGGCGATATAGTATAACACTTTTTGAGTAAAATAATGAAATTTCAAGCTCATAGTATAACACTTTTTGAGTAAAATAATGAAATTTAAAGCCAGGTAAGCGAATCCAAACCGGAAAGATTGGCGGTTCCGTCTATGGGTCAAAATCCACAGACCATTTCATAATCTTCATTGTTTTGTTATCAATCCAGATTACTCTTCTAGCAAATAATCGCTTGTAATCCTTTTCATTATTAAGTTGAATAAGAATGTGCCTTTCATCTATAAGTATAATTTTTCACTCCCAAACAAGATCCATAA